ACGACAAATCCCAGACAGAAAACTGCTGCTGAGTTCTATTTATGACGTATTGACACAAATTTCAAATGATTTTCAACGGTCGCTTTGTCGCGTCCAGTGTAAACAGACTTTAGCTGTTGCGGCGCAGACACGGTGTTACTCATCTATCGAGAAGAAACAAAGCAAAGCATCCTCGGCTTCCGATCGCAGGCCTTCCGCTCCTTGAGTTCTGTCCAGTGCTGGAAAGTTGATCCGATATTTACACGGGTCCTACTTCTTGCCTTAAGCTTTCTTTTGTTCCACAGATGGGTTTCTCTTTTGTTTTTTATCCGCCATCTCTATCTTTCTGTCGCTCGGCTAATGTCCGTCCTGTGCACTGAACACTCTCTCCTCCACATCATGAGTAGACACGCCCCTTACTGCTGATTGGCTACAAGTTTGTTTTGCTAATCGGTCCCCGAATCAGTTTTTTAAAGCGTTTTGAAAAATCGCTTACCCCACCTTTAAGCTATATGGCAATTGTCTTTCCGTCCCTATTGTACTTTTTATGGCCTTAAATTTGAAACAATTAAATGTAAGACTTTTTAAGGACTAGCGGAAAAGGCATGCTGACATTGAGATAAAAAAATCAATAAAAAATTGGACAAATAAAATAAAATAAAATTTAATAAACGGCTTTAAATTTTTCAGGTACAGTACAGGTATCCTTAAATGCAGCATTTAAGTAAGATACTAATTAAAAAAAATTAAAATGCATATTATTAATCGTATGAATAATAGATTCTACTGATTCTCATATTAGGCGGCTGTACTAGAACTACATACTGCACAGATCAGTTAAACATGCAATTTCTTTCCCAAATGTTTACATTCAATTGAGACAAAACCAGCTGTGTTTATGTGAACCATGGGTGTTTTTGACAGTTGAAACCATAAACGCTAAAGAGAGTGTAGTTTAGCCTTCGCTGGGATGTGCGCGCTCGTAGCCTATATCAAAAAGTTTAAACTGACAATGCGCACAGCCGTATCTCTCTTACACAGTTTGGAAGTGGTTGAAATTAAAATGAACGAGTGTACGTTGTGAGCGAACATTTTGTAGAGATCTGCCAGAAGAAGCAGCCACTATGAACAGCTGATTTGTACGGAAACATCTGATGGCCAAACTACATTGGAATTCGCAAATGGAAAAATCAAGTGAGCCCGGGCCGATTTGTGTTCACAATGCACGTTTTTAGCAAACCGTACCTTTAGCCGAAAGTGAACCGTACTCAGACCACCTCCCGAGATGCTCTCGGTTCGGTTCACTTCTGAGGGGTCTGAGATCGTTTGGAGTGTTCACATATGGGCCAAAAATCACGCGAACCGCGCTCAGACCCCTGAAAAGGACCAAGTGTGAAAACACCCTTAAGACTATATCTAACCAGAGGTCATGACCATTACTATAGAACAAAGTTGACCAACTTAACTTCTTCTAAGTAAAGTTAACTTCTTTATATAATCATGCCGTGATTTCTCACGTACACTTAGTTAGAATAATATTACAATTACCAGAGGTTGAGGCTGACCCGAATTTAGGTTGGTCAACAACACACTGTAGCTCTAAACAACAACAGTTCTATAAACAATTCTAAACATAAAAATATTCTAAACATCAGTTCTATAAAACCTTTACAATTAATCTAGAACGTGGCAGCAAGATTCATTTTTAATTAGCCAAAAAGAATGCAAGTCACACCTCTGTTTATCAATTTGCACTGGCTACCACTTATGTGCCATCTAGAAGCTTGTGTTCTGCAAGTGAACGTCGCTTTATTGTGCCATCCCAAAGAGGCACAAAATGACTTTCACGGACTTTTAAATTAAATGTTCCCTCCTGGTGGAATGACCTGCCCAACTCAGTCCGAGCAGCTGAGTCCTTAACCATCTTCAAGAATCGGCTAAAAACACATCTCTTCCATCTTTATTTGACCCTCTAACTCTAGCACTCTATGTTCTAATTCTATTTATATATATATATAAAAAAAACTAACACTAACTTTTCTAATCTCTTTGTATTCTATCTATTTGTTTTCTTTTTATTCATTATACAATTATCAAAAGCAAAAAAGGCCTCTAACACTAGCTTGCTCTATTCTTTTTCTATTCTATCTGTTTTTCTTTTTATTTATTATATAATTTAAAAAAAAAAACCTTGCTGCGTTAAGCTAACTGAGACTTGTTATAGCACTTGCATATCATTGCTCTTTTGTTGATTTTGATTGCTTCCGTTGTCCTCATTTGTAAGTCGCTTTGGATAAAAGCGTCTGCTAAATGATTAAATGTAAACGGAAAAACCCAATAGCCTCTAGAGTCTAAGTATACATAACTAATGCCAATGTGTTAGCCGGAGCTCTAAAACATCATTTTAGTCTGTGCATTTAGAGCGCAGATTTGCGGTGTTATAGACTTAACAATTAATTAGAGTCAATAATCTCAGAGTAAGTCAGAATAAATTCAAATGAAACAATTTATTATCAGTCAGGTAAATATGTATTATGCCAATTACATTGCCAGTTTCAAAGATATCAAATCAATACAAGACATCCAATTCTCAAAGATGAATCTAAGAGTAAGATGCATACGTGACTTTAGAAAGATACATGACATGTGGCCACTCTACGCTATGGGCTTCTGACTACAGAATTGCCCCGATCCTCCACATTTCCTTTAGTAACCTCAGACCAAGACACACATCCTCCAAAATGGAGACAGGAACTAACAATTTGAATTTGTATTGATCAAGGCGAATTAACACCTTTTGGGACAGAAGGTAATTTGCATGAAAGGCACACCCTCTACAGAAATCAGCTAATCTCTAAACTCTTAGGATCTGTATTACCTTTTTATGGCTGTCTGTCCTATTGTTAAGAAAATGAGACCTCTTTACCAGACACACACAGACCATTCAAACGACATCAAACATGAACAGTTGCATTGTTATAAACTCTGATTAAGAATAGTGGTTTCGGTGATCTCTGTAGTGTCCTGAGTTTAGCTGGAAATGAGGGGAGAGAGGGGGAGAGTGAGTAAAAGAAGTGGATGCGTGAGAAGGAAATTCACTCACATCTTCTCTAAGTGAGATGTCTGTATTTGAATACACTATGTGTGTATTGTCCGTCTCAGAAGATCAACGTGTCTGAGGTTCTATAATTCTTACAACTTGTTATAGTATAAGTTTATTTTTTGATCAGAAATACAGAAAGAACTAAAATATTGCGAGGCTTAAAAATTTTTTTTTTTCTTACCATACTTTGAAATATCTATTTCTGTGAGTCATAGCTGAATTTTCAGCATCAATTTAACACATCCTTTTGATTAAATGTATTAATTTCTTTTAAAAAATTAATTGAAAAAAACAGAATTGCAAACTTTTGAACGGTATTGTTCTGTTGCTACTTTCTGATTATGTTTCTGGCTATATTTAAAATCATATTAAAATCAAAACATACTGATCATTTAATAATTGTTGAAATGCTAAAATGTTTGTTTTAAACTTCCAAATAGGTGTCCAATGATTGATAAATAAATATTTGATTGCTGAATATTGTACCCTAATTGAAGTAGCTGTATAGTAGGATCATGATTTTGCATACCATTGCGTGAATGACTGCCTGACACATAATATATTATATTTATGATTAACAATCAAATGATGAATTAGTTAGAAACTATTTTCTATGAATACAGGTACCATCAGTTGTCTTCTTATGAATGACTTGTTATTGAGTCAGTGTTACCAAACTAGGATACAATTATGAGTCATTCGCAAACTGTTAAACATTAAACTGTTGGTTACTTTAAAACTAACCTTCATCTGGGAGATCACAGGGATATGTGAATATTTGATCTGTTAACTGGTTGCATATATCAGATTTATTGCATGACTCATCTCGGGCAGAGAAAAGCTGTTGCTATCAAACACTGTTTACTTAATCAACTGAGTCAGTATGGTGAAGGAAGGGGTAGATCAAATAATAGGCCAATTGATGGAAGGTTTGCGAAGTAATTTCATGCTCCCTTGTAAAAGTTTTTTTTTTTAGTATTTTTAAAATACATAAATACAGTAGTTTATTTTGATACATGGTGTGGCTGCTGTATTTTGCAGTTTATCTGATACACTTAAAATGAAGGTATTTGGTATTTTACTTAAAATATATCTTGATGTGTCTTTGCCCAACCCTTCTTCCAGGCAGGTCTGTTGAGGCAATTTGGAGATAAACTCTGCAGGACACCAACCCTATAATTAAAAACACCTGAACCAGCTAATCAAAGTCTTGTTAGTCATACTAGAAACTTCCAGGCAGGTGTGTTGATGCAAGTTGGAGCTAAACTCTGCAGGACACCGGCCCTCCAGGACAGAGTTTGGAGACCCCTGATATAGTCTCACCACCCTTGTGGTGAGTACAAATTCTTAAGGGGCTCCATTGTACTCCTAATAAAAGACATATTTTAAAGGTGACTATACTATATATTTTGTGTAGCCCATATTTGTTTTTCTTTTTTCTATATTTAATTTTACTTACATGAAGCACCTTCTTTGCTCTTTATATCTGAAAAATACCTGAAGGTTATAATGCAGAATCGTTCCAAACTTGGTGTTATAAGTAATATGTAATAAGGGATTGCTGTTTATTTTTCAGTAGTCCTGTTACTGCTCTCATAAAATTAAACTTTACTTTGCATGTCGTGGATTGAGTACATCTCAGTAAACTGTCGTTAATTCAACTGAATATTCTTTTGATCGACATTCACACTGTGTGTTTTGATGGATGTGTTTAGTTACACTCACTTGATCCAGCGGGATGTGAAGCCCAGATAAACGAGTCTGTGAAGAAACAGAATAACAGGATGTAAATGATAATGTAAAACTGACCATATCTCATTGTGCTTACCTGTCTACAAAATAAACTTCAAAAGTTATGTTCTTTTATTATCATATTCATTTAATACATTTATTGATGTCTTTAGATGGTAGCAGTGGCATAACGCACATCTGTCATAAGACCGAGATGGGGCTCCACCAGCAGTGAAGTCATGGATTAAAATGTATTGTGCATCTGCAGCAACATACTACTGAGTCTGTCTCCTCCATTTACATAACTGATGTAACAGTAATAAATGTGGTGAATTATTATTGCATTGATGCAACTGATGTTATGATTTGACAACATTATATAGGCTATATAATGTGCTTAGTGATTTTGATATTTTTTTTAGTCAGACTGAAATCCCTGCAGGAATATATATTTAGTCTACGTGGAGGTAAAAGTGCCACTGCTTCGATTTGATTGTTATTTTAACAATAGCAGGAGGATCCTTCACAAACATCTGTATTTAGGCCCCAAGTCTACATATTTTATTTAAAAAAGTAAGCTCAATGAATTCATAATGTCCAGAACACATCTCAGTTCAAACACTGGTCTACATAATTGTATACAAATTCATAATTTTAGGAAAAAAAATTTATTCAAGCAAAATTCATGTCTTGCGGTAAAAAAAAGAACAGTATATAGAAAACATTAAAGGAATAACTTTTGAGAAAAGCTAACTTTCTATACATCTTAACATATAACTTTTGATGATTATCTTATTTATTCTTTTGATCAAATGACTACTCAGAAAACAAACAAAAACTCTACAGAATCGAGCATTTGGTGTGTGTTTCACTGAAGTTTTAAAGGGATAGTTCACCCAAAAATGCAAATTACCCTATGATTTACTCACCCTCAAGCCATAGGTGTATATGACTTTCTTTTTTCAGATGAATACAATCGGAGTTATATTAAAGAATATCCTGGCTCTTCCAAGCTTTAAAATGGCAGTGAATGGCTGTTGTGATTTTGAAGCCCAAAAAAGTGCATCCATCCATCATAAAAAAGTGCTCCACATGGCTATAAGAAAAATATCCATATTTACAACTTTATAAACGGTAATTTCTAGCTTACACTGGCTACGTTTACATGCAACCAAATAATCCGTTTGTAATTGGATTGACGGCTCAATCGGACTGAAAAGCCATCATGTACGTAAACACCTTAATCGATCCAATTGAGCTCGATCGGAATTAAATTTCGATCGGATTGAAGGGTTTATTCCTTTTCTAATACGATTGAGAGGGCATGTAAACACTCGATTGGATTGAACCCCGAAACTGAAAGGTCTGCGCATGTGCAATGACACCGAAATAGCGTAATGACGTATGACGTGCGGAACGAGCGGTTCTTCCTTTTGAATAAAGTGTTGTATAAATGCGTGTACTGTCATTATAAAACTGGCCTTTCACTGGCAACTGTGAAGTGGAGCAGAACAACCTCACACCAGTCCTTGTTTTGGATACTCATCCACAGGCAACCCGTTTTGGGCGCAGGGAGGGGCATTTTTACTGCGTGATAAATATGAGCAGCACGGCACAGCGGTTTATATGTATATTTATCCATAAATGGATAAATATTAATTCTGCTGTTAAAAACAAATAAAGAAACCGTGTATGAGAGTGGTTATTATGTGCAAACAGTGAGAAACTCTATAGTTGTGCAGTGTGTGCATGTCAAAAAAAAAAAAATCCGATTTGAAGCTTGTGACATATAAACACGCACATCAACCAGTCACTTTCTTTAGCGTTCATGTAAACACTACATTCAGATTCATCAATCGGAATGAATTCAGTCCGATTGAACCAAAAATTGTGCATGTAAACGTAGCCACTGTCGTACACGCATTCATGAGAGAGTGGCGGTCCAGCGGATGCCGAAGAATGTAGGCGAATGTGGAAGTGAAATGCGGAGGAGAGAGCAAGACAAAACACTCCTCACAAATTAGAAGTACAAAATGAGGATTTGTAAAGAAAAATGTCAGAGGATTTCGATAGAAGCCAAGAGGAGACTGGTTTTCCTTTGCTCAAAACACAACTTGGTTCTCAAGAGACTTGCATATTCTAACTGGAGTTTATGCTACGCCTATGTCCTACGTCATTCGCTGGAATGCCACTCTCTCGTGAATGTATGACAGTCAGCGGTAGCTAGAGATTATGGTTTATAAAGTTGTAAATATGGATATTCATCTGAAAGATGAAAGTCATATTCACCTAGGATGGCTTGAGGGTGAGTAAATAATGGGGCAATTTTCATTTTTGGGTGAACTATCCCTTGTCACATAATGCAGCAAGCACAGTCATTGTGCTCTGGAGAAATGTCTTGATCACTTTCAATTTTAAGAACAATCTTTCAACAGTCGTCTTAGAGGTATAGTTTATGATAAGTGAGATGTGAGAGAAATTGATTTTCCCCGTTCGTTGTTTTAAAATTTAGACCATTAAGCCATATTAAGGGTTTCTCTACTCCATTGCACTACCTTTGTGTTCGCGTCTTTTGCAGTGTCTTGTGACACGGCGTTCTAAAAACGTGGCCCTCACAGCGCAGCTAACTTTCAGTCACACATTCATAGTGAACTCACACACTTGACACTGTTATCATGCTCTCAAACCACACGTCTGTTTTCCCACTTTCTTTTTTTGTCACTTTATTAAACCTTCAAATAACAAACAGGCATTATCATCATTCCACCGTTAAACACATTAAACACAATAAATCATCATTCCATCATTCCATTCCATATCATAAATACAAGAATAATAATAATATTAATAAAGTAAAAATAGAAAGTTAAAATAATACCAAAACATGTAAAGCAAATTATAAGACAAATTAAATTTTGCATTATTGACACACTATTTTCCTATTTGATACTGTAAAGCAGCTTTGACACAATCTGTATTGTTAAAGCACTATATAAATAAAGGTGATTTGACATGACTTGGCTTACAAGTATGTTACCTGAAGTTTAGAGTTTTAAGGCACTCTTTTTTTTTTTATTGTTTTATGGATTAAAATAAAATTCTAAAATAATTTTTAAATGCCTCAAAACAGTGAGAAACTTTAACAAATCTACATTTGTGTATATAAATCTTGGCTACAATCAACCTATTATGGCACAGAAATTCAATCTCTGTCTTTGTGCACTTTAGACTACATATAATTCCATCTATCAGAGGAAGAAGAGTGCTGTTTTTCCAAATATCAGGTTGTAAATGTGATATTGATTTTATACAGTTCAGAAACAAGAAGTTACGTAAGAACGGAAAGCTATTGAACTAATATGAATTTTCATGGTATCCCACAGGCAGTTAAAAAAAGCAAAAAAAGCAGCTAAACATGAACTATAAAAACATAATTCAATCAGGTAAAGCTTTAAGCATAAAAGGTTCAGTGTAGGCTACATGACCTTACAAACATTAAAAAATATCATTCATCGTCTATTTCAATGTGCAGCAGCTAGTCTAATGCTCTTTTTACATAATTAAATGTTCTCTAATCCAAACAGTTGCATTTCAGAGTAATGAAATTAATATTTGAGTTATACTCAGCCTACAGTAAGAAGGCTTGCAAAATAATGAAGAACAGATGATGAGGATGGCCATAATACCAGATATTGGAAGAATATTAAAATCCAACAGGAAAAAGAATAACTGTTGTTTTTGTATTTGTAGGAAATAAAGATGACAAAATACATTTTACGGCTGTGGTGGTGGTTACGACATATCTCAAACTACCCTGTCATCTGGCATCCTTCCATTCCACACAGTTGTGACACTGTCACACAGAACACGTTTTAACCTGTTTAATATATTGGGCGAATTCCAAACAGAATATGCCCTACTCCCTTCGAAGGGCAGAGCCCTTAAAGTGTGTTCTTTAAAGGGTGTAGGGCATTTCTGTCTCGTAAAAGCATTTGGAACTCCCTTGGCAAAGGGAATGACTGACAAAAAGTTACCTTGACAACGCTGCGCGTGTGTGCAGCATTCAACGCTCCAACAGTTGTTGCAAAAATATTTATTCTTATAGTATTATTTGATTAAAATACTGTGTAATTGTGTCTTATTTACTATTAAACTATTTCAAACTAAACTTGCTTAGTGCTTACACTACCCTTTTAAATCATATTTCTCACTGATTAAAGTATTTTGTATTACTTTAAAATATATAAAGACAAATTTAATTAGCCTATTCTACTTAAGTTTGTATGTGAAGTAGAAATAAAACCCAACTTTGCTTTAAAATGCATTGCAAGATCTCCTAACCGAAGATCACATGATCACAAACGGAAATCACTTCCGTGAAGTGACCATCGCATGTTCCCTTCGCTAACGGACTTCTGGAAGGGCCCTTTGTGAAGGGATTCAGTTGTTCACTTTCGTTTGGAACGTCCCTACAAATGGCATTCCCTTCCCGAAGTGCCCTTTAAGGGCGCAAAAAAGCCGGTTGGAATTCGTCCATTATGACTCATCACATGACAGGAAACAGGACATGGACATCATAAAGGAGGCAGCATGGCAAGCTAATAATCTATATTATACATAAATAATTAGGCTGTTACAGATGCACGTTCACTTTCTGACACAGTCCACGTGCTCGAGTCTGTCTCAGTAGGACAGGTGGAGTGAAAGAACGTTCACTTTGACGCGTTTGGTTTAAACAGCTCATTCGCATCTTTGTACAGATATCAGAAGGTTCCCAGCATAAGTGGATTGTTTTTTTAATGGCACCCCAGATCATGTCAGAGGATTGATTGGAGGATTTTGTTTTGTAAACGAGGCACAGTGTCATGGAGAGTTCACAAAGAAACATTTGTTGAAAGATGAATGCGGAGCATGCCACGGAGGCAGCCATCATCGTCGGCGCCATCTCACATAAGGCAATATCCCACATATATCAAGGAATATATGGTATTAACCTAAAAACTAGCAAATAAATTGCTCGTGCAACTATG